AGGTGGCTTGGCTGTTGGAAAAAGAGGCCCTAACTCAAAAATACTTGGCAACCATTCCTATAGATCAAACCACCGCTATTTCTAATATCACCCTTGATTGTAAGATCGGGGCAGCCACGCGGAGAAGGCCACCACCTCTGCACACGAATCTCACCTGGATCGAACAGCAAGTCACTGGTGAAGAGGTTTTTCACCAGAAGGTTGGCGCACAGCTTCACACTCTTCAGGTGGCTATATTTTCTGTTCAGGTACAGGGAGAGGATGTAGCGGAGGTCAAGCATCAAGCAGGTCCACCGTACGTGGCTGGGAGCCAGGCCCACCAGATCTGGAGGGAAGGAAACACACCGGGGACGCACGATCATGGAATGCACAAACACACAAGAATCCTAGGCTAAACATCCATAGAAAGCCCATCACGCCTTTCCTACGCTTCTGATTTTCAAAGTAGAGGAGGTGAGTATAAGCCAGGAAGGAACTCTGCGCTCAACCACAACTTCTCCCGGCCAACGTGAAGGATCTAGTAACGTTCAGCTTCTGCCTGGTATAAGCTTTGCAATCTTGGTCTGTTTTATAGGAAAGCGAATGCTGGAAATAACCACATGCACTGCTAGCTATGGCCAGGTTAGGTTTCGTGGGGGATTTTGAAGATTCTGCCTCTTCAGTCATAACCATTTCCTGCAAGTAGACCTTGCAACCCAACCACAAAACCCTCCTTCTTAAATAAATATGTGAAGTCACAGAAAAAGTGGAAAGCAAATTTGGGGGTGGGGGGGACAACAGATTTTTATAAGGATAATTCATTGGAAAAATTGGTAATTTGGGAGAATTCAGGAGGGAAAACACCCTATAAAACATCTCGCTTGGAATGAGTGAAAAGTTAAGACAAAGCTTAACGTACACAAAAAGCCACGAACGGTTCCTTCCAGGGCCCAGCTGTGGTAAGTTCATGTTTAGAAATATATATTTCCATGATTTTTTAAAATATTTTCAGACTTTGGGTAAATGAATCGGATCCCGCAGATACAGGGGTCCTCCTGTACTGCATGCATCTCTAATATTTTATCTGGGGGAAAAAAGGGAGGAATAGTATTTTCCCTATTGTTTCGAAGTCTCCAGAAGTTTTACTCTTCTTTCCATCTCAAGGAACCTGGATCTATGCCACGAGAGCCACCAACAAAAGCACACTGGGCAGGATGGCTTGCCGAGAAAACATCCTCAAAAAAAATATTTTTGGGCTGATCTCTGTACTCACCTCGCTTGGAAGTCCTGGCTGTGCGCTCGTAGACGGATCCCTTGGCCGCCTCACAAATAAACGGGAACTGGAGCCACGTGGCGGTTGACTTGAATTCCTTAAAGAGGTTAGAAAAGGAGATGCGGACGACTTGATTGTCCTGTAAATAAAGGCAAACAAACAACCTGCTCAGGAGGAATTGTTGTCTCGCTAGAACAGCAGCAAACTTTCTACGCTTCAGGAACAATTATATATCTATAACAAACACGTTCTCTACAAGCCAGACCAAAATCTTGAGCGAAGCTGCATTTTCTATAGACCACACAAGAAAATGGCATATTTTCTCTTATCAAGCAACATTGATTTTGGATAACAGTAGTTACAACTTTCTACAGTGTATTTTGTAAACGGGGGAATATATGGATATTCCGTAAATTCAGCTATCCATCAGCCGCATACGAGAGTTTGATTCCCCCACGGAGCCTCCTGGACAGGGGCTGGACTGCTCTGCTGTTCTCAGAGGATGATGACAATAAGGAAACCAAACTCTCCACCAGGGATGGTAGCAATAGGTAGTGACTACACCCTACAAGCTTCCAGATAAGGCAGGATCTGAACTCAGGGGCCTAACACACAAATATCCCTGCACCACCTCAAACAGCCCCACGCCATCCTATTGTTTTACGTTACTAACCATATCCCTGGTCATCCGTAACAGGAAGAGTAATCCTGACCTACCTCTGTGACAACATCCAGGTGCACCACAAAATATTTTGCCGGTGCAGGTTTGAAAAGGAGGTAGAGGTAGCGTCCAGTGAGACCCAGCGACTGCGTGCTCGTCTTCGGGAGCTGGAGGTAGTTGCTCGCCGGAACGGCGCCGCTGATGCGATACACCGTCCCTTTCAGAGTCTTGTCCTGGACCGAGGACATAAAACAGGAATGAAAGCCAGGCCTTTGCAGAGAAAACGGGATCAAAGTTTCATAAATCAATCCATCAACCTTTTTACTGTACGATCATAGATTTCAGCAAAACGAAAAAAATAACGAAGATGATACTGCGGATTTCTCAGCAGCCAAGAAGACAGAGATCAGAAATTCCTGTTGTCGTCCTCTCCTTTTATTCCCCCCACGCACAAAGAAGAAGAAAAAAACTCATATACAATCAGGATAAGATAACCTTTGGCCACCGGCAAGCTGATTTTTATTTATTTATTTAAAATGTTCTACCCCACCGTTCTCCAAAAAAAGGGATACAAAGAGGCTTTCATCATTAAAACACAATATTAAAGCT